AGAATTAAAAGCGGAGTGGCTCAAGGAAGCGTTCTGGGACCGCTTCTGTTTAATATCTACACGAATGATATGCCGGTTCCTTTGAATGCAAAAGTAGTGAAATATGCCGACGACACAGCAATTTTAACCAAGTCGCTAAAACCTCAGCTCGCTGTAGATAAACTTGAAAGCGCAGTAAATATCATAGCACACTATTATGATTCATGGAAATTAAAAGTAAATCCGTCAAAGAGCCAAATTCTCCTTTTCAGACGTCATCGGAAGTTCACTCCTGTGAATGTAAATATAAAAATTAATGATCAAGCCCTAGCAATTGTTTCAAGTACCAAGTATCTAGGAGTGGTCTTCGACTCACAGCTGTTATTCAAAGAACACACGGAGTATGCCTTGCGCAAAGCCACCGCTGCTAAAATGTCTCTTTACCCTTTAATAAGAAGAAATGCTAAATTAAATATCAGTCTCAAGAAGAAGATCTATACCAGCTTAATAAGACCCACCCTACTTTATGCAGTGCCTATCTGGGCCACTGTGTACAAGACTTATAGACACAAACTACAGGTCTTTCAGAACAAAATACTCAGACAAATTGTTGACTCCCCATGGTTCGTACGTAACCTGCAGATACATAAAGAACTAAAAATAAGACCCATAGCTGATCAAATTCTCACCACGAGCCACAATTTCTATGCTAAAATAGAACTTTCTCAATACGAACATATCCGTAATCTGATAAATTATGATCCTACTATAGAAATTGCAGCAAAGCGCCCAAGAGGCATCTTCCATAACAGCAAATGGTGAAATGTGTATATATTGTACATAGTACTATTATCTTTATTTTATCTTCATTGTGTCATTTTACCAGTGTCTTTGAAACTTTATAGACTTATGGACATGATCCGTGTACCTGGATCTTCAAAGCACTGATCTTATATTTGTCATTTTCGTAATCTTCTTATTGTTATATCAGAGACTTTGTAATATTGTGGACTTATGGACATGATCCGTGTACCTGGATCTTCAAAGCTCTGATTATTTATTGCTAGTGTAAAATGTTTTTCACCATTTGCCACTTCGCTCAAATACCGCCGTCCCTATATGTACATAGTGTATAGTTTCAGTAACTCATGTGCCTCAGTGTTGTACAAGAACTTTAGTGTTTAATTTCTCAGACCAAGACTTCACTGAATTGTGATATCTACTATTTCAAGATGCATTGGCTGTGGACAGTTCACGGGAGGGTGACTCCCACGTGACTACCACTGTCCAATCTGTGTTTTACAGCAAGGATGAATTTGAATATTTTGTTTAGCTAATCTGTTGCACTTAGTTGTGCCATTTGTCTTCATTTAGATCGCGATATTAGTTTAATTATTCCAATCTGGATAACCTGTTTCAAAACTTGATAATTATTAATATATCCAATATTTCTCATTGCACGCGTAAGCTGCTTTGCTCGGAGTCTGAACTTGGGTGGGTGACCACCCACGTGACAGGCTCCTGCCAATCATCTCCCTCCACTCCACCTACATTTCACAAAATTTGACAAGTTTCGCCTAGTTAGCGCGGCGTAAATCGCCTTAATTAAAAACTTAAGTACCAACGCCTTAGGGCAATTTACCAACAGAGACGGTTAAAGTAGCGGTTGGCTACTAATTGCCGCCTAGCCATTGACTCGATTTCGATTTCAATACAGTCAGTCAGTGATTTTAGTTAGTTTGTTTAGTTTTTTTTTGTTGTTGTTAAGAGTTTGTTTAGAAAACTGCTCTTGTTGATTGTAGCGAATTCGCGGATTAGCTTTCTTTAGCTGTTTTTGAATTACGTTCTATTGGACATTTGAGTAGTTAAAAGATAACTACTGTGAGATATTGTAATACTGCATGATAATTTGAGGAAATTTGAGCATATTTGTTGTGATAATAATAAATTTTCTTTCATTTTTCATCGGACTTGTGCATTCATTTCGTAACGACCCCGTGCGCACGCAACAATATATACGTATATATACACTCACTGCCTTACCAGGTTTAAAAGTCTTTAGCAGGCCTTTATTTTTTGAAAATGTTTTAAATGACGAGATTAAGAGGAATTTTAATTCGATTTGATGATTTGATTTATTTTGATGTCATTCTTAACTTGAATTGATTAATTAAATTAGAATAATTCAAGGAAACAATTTAAAATGAAGTACAGTAAAATGCATTCGCGTTTTAAATGATGAAAATAGGCAGTGTGGTTTAAAAAAAAACGCATTAATTTTTGACAAATAACGAAATCTAACTTTAACTTTTTAAACCTAACTTCCTGTTTCCTATGTTTATGTTTGGGAAATTTTTATACTCGTCATGAAAAAATAAAATTAGAAGACTATACCGAAGAAAAATTGATCGGTATATGTAATTTTAAAATTTGTAGTTTCTAATGTCATTTTAAACTTGCATTGAATGATCGGTTAATTAACCCAAGTAGCATAGCAACGTCGTAATAACGTTGCAAACTTGTTGCATGTCATGTTGCAAAAACAATGCAACATGTCGTCTTTAAGACACCCAGATGTCCGGGAAACTTCACTGTTTTGCAACCGTTGCAAAGATGTTTTTATTACGTCTTTGCAGATGAGGTTTCTGTAGAATTATTGCGTCTTTCTCAGGTTCTATTTTGGTTGTGAAAGCATGGTATCAGGACGTCTTAACGACGCCTAAATGTTGGCAGATTTCCACATTTTTGCAGCAATTATGAAAACATCGTTATTAAGTCCTTGTATTATATATTGATTTATGCAGAAAAATAAGCTTAATAATTAATATATTTTCTTCTTTTTTAAAATTTTGTATTCCTTGTATTTTTCTAAAGTTTAAATATTTTATCATTTTCTATTTATGCAATTAATTCGACGCAAGTAATTATTCATCTTAATCTGTATTAAAAATTATTAGAACATCTAATAACATAACTTCAGGAAAAAAGAATATTTTACAGCCGTTTGAAGTTCGTTAACGGCATTTCGCTTCCAACAATTATCACTTATCATTAACAAGATATCACAATCAGAGTAAATCAGCACATATTTAAGGATTGTTATTAATGCATCAAAAACTTGGATAGTCGTCGCTGCTTATGCTGTAAAGGTTGCCCATATAAATTAATACATTGATTTATTATTAATTTTTAAAATCACAGCATTCATTTGCAAGCACCCTGTATAATCTTTATTTTATTGTAAACCTAAAAATAGTTATTTAATCTATTGTATTCTAGTTTTCTAATGTATTGTAAAATAAGTTGGGCGCAAAATTTGGTGTTATTAACTTGAACTTATTTAACTTGAAATTGTCAAGTTGTACTATTTATTTCAAAAAAGCATTTCTTAGTGGCCTGGTCTTCCACTCCTTTAAGGTCGAGTATAGTATAATGGAAATAGATTTTAAATGAATAAATGTTTCCATTAATCCCTGCAGTTACCAAATGGTTAATACCGCTCTGCTTTTATTCCCGTTACCGCTCTGCCTTTATTCCCGTTATAAAATTACTAGAACGCCCGGCCGTCATACGAAATGACCGCTGTTCTAGATATTATAAATTGTAATTAAAATGACTTGTGCAAAGGTGTCTGCTAATTCAAACTAAATTACCCAGGGCAGGCGGCGAGGACGCCCCTTTGCTTACTGCCTCACGGGGTTTCTCCCATCTGCTTGCTTAATTGCTTAAAGTAGAGTGCAATGAAGGAAACCACTGGCGGTTTATTTCTTAAGAGCCACCGCTAGGTCAATAAATAAAGGTGATGTAAATAGTAAAATGACATGTCAAAGATCTCTTTGTACACAACATTTCTTGTGTAGATCTTTCCATCATTTTTAAGCTCGCCTTTCAGAGGACCATCCATCATTTTTGATTTTACGTCCGTTCTTTCACGAACTCTTGAACAGGCAACATAAAGTTGACCGTGTCCAAATGCAGGATCAGGTAAAAAATGCCAACAGGCTTAAACGTTTGGCCCTGAGACTTATTGATAGTCATAGCAAAGGCAAGTTTTACAGGAAATTGTCTACGTCTGAATTGAAACAACAACCCTATGCCGCGGCAGCTTCGCCGCGCTGGCTAGTACAATTACGCAAGCAACCAATAAACTATCGGCGACAAACAAACATTTAAGCCGCATATTTATATATGTGGTGAAGTAACATTCTCTCCTCCGAAACGGCTGGCTTCCTGGTTAGCGAAGCACATCGTTGGATTCCGAAGGTCCGTGGCACACCATTTTGACCATTTGCGTCTTCTTGGGACTTTAATTAGCCGAGATATTAATTTAAAAAGTAATTTTTCCCTACGTTTTCCCTACATTTTCCACTTTCTTTCTTGGGTTTTACCTATTAGAGGGATTTGGCTACGTGCCAAATTCTTTTTTCTCGAATATCTATGGAACGCCACCGAGTTGAAATTCGAGATTCGTATCCTCGGATTCCAAAAAATTCTGCGAATTATTGATACCGTTTTCATCTCCGTACGACGTTAATCGGCCCGAGATATTAATTAAAAACTGCGGAAACGTTAATTTCCACGCTCATTTTTCCGAGTGGCAACAATAAACTATCGGCGACAAACACTAAGCTGCTTATATATATAAAGAAGATTGCTCTAGTTACGACCAACTGCTAGAGTAATTGTTACTTATACCCTTTATATAGAGCACGTAGAATAATAAATAGACAAAAATATTATTTATAGCTTCAAGAAAATTCTATAATAATGAAACTTCGAAAGATCCCTTCTGTTGTATTTTGATTGCTCAGTTAGTTGTTAGTAGGTGGCAACGATGTTGCAGGTAGACTGGGTGTAGAATCGCTCTTAAATTACATGGAACTCAAAAATTGAAATTGATTTATAAAATTCGAAATGCTAAAAGTCTTACTCAACTAGTTTTATTAGTTTCATTCGAGAAATTTCTAACTTTGTGGCAATCATTAACATCATTGAATAATCAAAAAATTGTTTCAAAATAGGTTGTTACCAGAGTCACCACGCTGGTTATTGTCTCAAGGACGTGTCGAAGAAGCCCAGGAAACGCTCAGTAAGGCAGCCAAGGCAAATGGCATAGAGCCATCCGACATAGATACGACTCTCCGAAAAATAATGTCAAAAGCCAGTGAGGTAAAACAAAATGATATCAGCATCTAAATTTACTGCTACAATTGTAGAATTCTTGAGCGTAAAATAACGTAAAAATGAAGCCCATTTTTGGAGATAATTAAACATTAAAAAAGTATTTTTATTAATTCTACAAATTTTATATCTTTATTTCAAGTAGTTCTGATTAAATATTTCACTAAATTTTATTATATTCCTGTGACTTAATATCATTATTTAATTTATAAACTTCTGCTTTTCTTCTCGTCAAGAAAAAGTAAAAATGAGTTTATTTATTACAAATAATTTTTTATAAGAATGACTATTTATCTTTTTCATGTCAATGAACCAATAAAAATATAGATAAAATTTAGACAGTACTTGCTCTCAATATAAATACGTACTTTATTTTATTTTATCTTTCTGTTTATTAGATTTTTAAAGAGACTTAGATAAAAGTTTTATTGTTTAGATTTGGTAGATCATGGCAAAGCATACTAGGGCTATCTACCTAACGGGAGGGATGCCTTCGTGAAAGATTTCTAAGGGAAACTGGCTCGTATACATGTTACACAAGGGGAAAACCACAAAAACGCCCATGTAGCCAGCCCGTTCGCCAAGAATCAATCCTAGGTCGGAACTACCAGTGTTCAGCGATTTTCCCGCTCGGCAACTGGTGGTCCTTTATTGTCTATAATTTTACACTTTATTATCATCGTATCTATACACATGTACACATACAGACACATACACACACACACACACATATGTATATATATATGTATAAGAAATTGACTTCCTTTTTGCTAAACAACTAAAATAAGTTCTTGACATTATTAATTTTCAAGACCACCATTTCAAACGGATTATTAACAACAACGAGAAAATTTTAGAAACGTTCCAAACGTTAGATATTCAAAATATTAATTGCTACGATTTCGAAAATCCTTACACCACTTTACCATTGGAAGAAATATTTGAAAGCCTTCTTACTCTGCCTGATTTGTTTACGCAAATTCTTACAATTGTCTCCAAAAATGAATGGAAACTTTTCCTAAGAAGTGTATTATTTGACATTTATATTTAATTTAATAATATTTTTTTAAAGAAGTACGAGGAATACCAACGGGCTAGAGCAGCTCATCCACCATTTGTAATCTCTTAAATGACTGCACGTAATTTTAAGTAAGTTTTCTCTTCACGAAAGAATATAAATTTCAAATATCACTGTATTTGTATTATTTAATTATTTTTCAAACGTTTACAGGTATGTAGATGATGTTACTGTAATCAATAACTTTAATAAGATAGAAAACGTAAATTTATATCCAACTTGCCTTAAATTTAACACTATTAGCCCAAAGCAAAAGGAAATTGTCTATCTTGAAAATGACTGCACGTAATTTTAAGTAAGTTTTCTCTTCACGAAAGAATATAAATTTCAAATATCACTGTATTTGTATTATTTAATTATTTTTCCAACGTTTACAGGTATGTAGATGATGTTACTGTAATCAATAACTTTAATAAGATAGAAAACGTAAATTTATATCCAACTTGCCTTAAATTTAACACTATTAGCCCAAAGCAAAAGGAAATTGTCTATCTTGATTTGCAAATATTAAACTACGAAAATATTAGAATCTATGTAATGGCTTCATTTGTAATACAAAACTGACTAAGAATAGTAACTCAGAAGTTGCCCTTTTACGCACGAATTTATTCCATATTTATTAGAAGTGATTCGATGTTATTTTACGAGTTACTGAGGTTTCCTTTAGGATTTTAAGCTTTGTTTGCACATTATCACAGTCGATAAAGTAGCTGCGCGAATATAAATCTGTATTTGGGCGATTTAAGAACTGCGTGAACCTAAAAGATTTGAGGCAAATCTGTATCTTCCCTTGTTTAATGTGAGAATGTTCACTTTGAGATGGTTAAAATTAATTGGATATTTATTTGTGATTCCCCAGAAAAGTATTTCAGACATTATTTAAACGTACGATGTGATGTTTCATTAGCTCTTATGAAATGTGAGGAGAATTTGCAGTAATACATTAAAAATTCATATATATTCACTACCTGTATCAGTCTTCATTTTTTCAAGGAATTCAGTGGTACTTTCCGAAGTATGACTTTTTGCTTTGTCTTGGTGAAGTTTCACGCTTTGAACGTCATTCGGATAAAGAAACGAAATTACTTCTGTAAATATCGGACGTAGAAAACTTTCTCTTGATAGTTCGTTGAGTAGATTTTAACATTTTTTCCTACTCATCTTTTTTTTAGTTTTCAACTGCATGAGAATATTGTGACAATCATAAACCCCTTTTGAAACTTCGTTTGCATTAACGGAATCAGGTTTTGTACAATTTTTTCTCATTATTTTTGATGATAAAGAGACCTTTTCTTTATTGCATTTAAGTAAACCCATGTTTCATCAACGGACACAATGCATTCTAATTTATCTCCTGCTAAATGGATTTCATGTAGAGTTCTACAAATTGTTCTGCTCCAGCCACATGCCTCGGCAAAAGCTGGTGAAAATTACGTTGATTATCTTTTTCAAGTGGTTAATCTTGGTTTATTACTTTATTTATTGCTGCTATAGATGTAATTAAAGACTCTGAAATTGATTATGTTGTATATGGTTTAATATTAGAAACACTACATACCTTTTTTGGGTATTTGTTTGACTTCTTTCTATGTAATAGTTATGACTGACGGTCTTTTCCCTTTGAGATGAATACTGATGTTTGTTTTGCACTTCGAAATTTTAATACCATGCCTATCAGAACGTTTCTGAATTATGGAAAAGGAATATTTCTCTTCGGAAAGCGCAAAAACATATCCTTCAATCACAGCTTATTATTTAAAGAAAAGGGTGATCATACCATTGAGGAACTCACGACCTTAACTCAAGATCTGACGATCGCCTACACAGACGGCTCTTCCGATTCCAATCTGAACAGAGGAGGAGCGGGAGTCTTTTTCATCGGACTAGACGGAGTGCAGAAATGCCACAGTATTCCTGTTGGGAAAATCGCCTCCAACTACACATGCGAGCTCGTCGCCATCAAAAGTGCTCTGGAGATTTATCTCTCTAAAGAAGACCAGAGTTCCAGGGGCATCATCATCTTCTCTGCCTGCAGATCAGCATTGCAAGCGATCCAGAAGGGCAAATGTCAACTCAGTCATCAGTTCATTGAGCTCACAAACAAAGTCATTGCTGCCCAAAGATCCTGCATCTTACAATGGATACCGGCTCATGTAAATATTTTTGGTAATGAGAAGGCCGATGAGCTTGCAAAGTCATCCCGTGATTCTCCTCAGCCATCCAACTGCCTAACCCTCGTTGATGCCAATGCAGTTGCCAGCCAAAGACTAATCGGTCAAGTTAAAGGAAACTCTATCCCGGAATTGGACTGTGACAAAGCCATATCGAGTATCATAACCAGACTTATGACAAATCACTTAAAAGGGATGAGGATTTCTGCAGACGGACAGCGTAGTTCCACCAACATTTGTCCTCATTGCCCAGATGACATCCCACTGTCTCGCCATCACATCTTGGCATTGAAGACCCAGTGGACCTACTTTATACCGATAGAGCTGCCGAGGTTGCAAAAGCTGTCTTTGACAGCTTCGGAGTTATATAATTGCACTTTGTCATAGACACGACATCATCACAGCTTATTTACATGTGACATTTCGAAAGAAGAATAAATTTAAAACAGCAGACGATATTTGTCATATCAAATAAAAGCTGTTGCCAGAAAATTTTATTGCAAAATATTTTCTTTTTTTTAAAAAAAATTCTTTATCGAAATTCTCTGTATATATTCTATACATCTTAGCATAAAACTGTGCATTCCCTACAAATAAAAAAAACAGTAAATAAGTGTACGAATTTGTTTCAGGCTCATGAGTCTGGAGAAGCGTCCGGAAATTTCCTAGATTTGTTGCGTACTCCTGGACTCTGGCAAATGACGCTAAATGTGTACTTTCTTTGGTGAGTATAAATTGTATTTATGTTTAATATCATTATCTTTACGGAATATTGTTCAAATATCTGTGGATACATTGAATACATGATACTTATTATCAAAATTTATATGCTTTAGCACAGCTATTCTCAAATGTATTGTAGATTTATTCAATGGGTATAACCTTCAATCTTTACAAAGTACTCACATATTTATTCCCAATCCACAAATTTTCAAGAAGTTTTACAATATCTTTGCATCTCTCTGGCAATTCGTAATCCATTAAAAATATATTTATACCGAAGATCTAAAAAAGTCTTTAAATTATCCCATTTGTATAGATTTAAAATTATCGTTCATTCGAAGCTGTTAATGAAGATAAGGAAAAATCCAGGTGTTCCCAAGAGTCAGGTGTCCCCAAATCTTTTGTCCTTAAGAGCCTGGTGTCCCGAAACCTTTTGTTCCTAAGAGCACATTCTAGAATATCTATCGAACGGCGGACACCATTTACCTTTTCAAGGTGAACTTATAGTTAGATAGTTACATTTATAGTTATAGTTGGATACATGCTGATAAAAACAAGTAATAATATATATACATATATATATATATATATATATATATATATATAAATTAAAATCAATGCCTACTTCAACAAAGAAAATTTATTTTAGTTATTTTTTTATTAATATTATTAGCATTTTTTCGTTTGTAATTTATGAAGCTGATGGTGGTCTATAATTTCTTATTCTATCCATCTCTTGGTGAATTATCATCTTCATTATTGAAAGGAACCTTTCCAGTGAGTTTCGAGCAGTCCAGTTCTTCAATTAATATTCCATCTAATGATTTCACACGATTCAAGGCGACATATGCTTGATCTGCTGCGAAGAGCTTACGTAGGGAACTTTTCTTGGCGCTTATGTTTTTCTTTCGCTAATCGTCGCTTGTGTCGAGTTGTGTCGTACTTTCTTTTCGCTTTCTTTTCGCATTCTCTGCTTGTGAAGCAAGGGTAATTTTAAACATATATTATTATCACGTTAACATAGAAATATGTGGAGAATTTTCGCTACATAATGGGACATTACACCTGCTTCATCCAACTCTATAAAACTACAATTCTTTAATTCCTTACACTTTAAAAATCTTTAGAACTATGTCTTACTGTTGCCACTTATTTTTGTTAAATATTACAATCTCATTTATCACAGTCATGTACTATTATTTATAAGTTGCTATAAAATTAATTTTTACAGCGCGTGAGAATTACTAATAAACGGGCATCATTTGTAAGTCTCATATTTTGTAAACCGTTAAGTATCTTGCAAGTCATTAAGTATTTTGTAAGTTATTAAGTTTTATATTTTGTTAGTCATTGTATGCCATTTGTGAGATATCATTTTTAAGTCTTATTTAATAAAAACAGCATATCTTTAGTCAACAGGAATCAATAAGTAGGAATTGACTTTACTGTGTGAAAAATTGTATTAACATCAAATGTCATCTACTACAAGTTTAAAAAAGTGTATTTGAACTTGAGTGGACGAATAAAAAGTATTTTAGTAAGGAATGAAAATTTGAACAAGATATAATAAGCGGGCATCATTTGTAAGTCTCATATTTTGTAAAACATTAAGTATCTTGTAAGTCATTAAGTATTTTGTAAGTCATTAAGACTTATATTTTGTTAGTCATTGTAAGACATCATTTGTAAGTCTTATTTAATAAAAACAGCATACAGTAAGACCCCGCTTAACGCTGTTTCGTTTAGCGCTGTTTCGGTTTAGCGCTCTTTTATTTCAACCCGGGGATTCCACGAAATCGCTCGCAGCATACGGGGATTCCACGAAATATTATGCAGCGATAGGTTTCAAATACATATCCGAAAGAGTGTACTTGTATTTCTTGTTTGGTGCGGTATTGTACAGATTTGAAGGGGTAAATGTGGAAGATGTCGAAGAAATAATTCAAGAAGCAGCGGCTAGTCTTTCTAATGATGAGCTCAAGGAATTAACTGAACAAGAAGAAAAACAAAAATGTTGACAGCAGTGATTCAGAAGAAGAGGAAAAAGAATTTTCGATGGCGTTTGTAAAAAGGAGTTTGTATACCATAACTGAAATAATGGATCAATTCATTGAAAATGATCCGAATTTTGACAGGAGCTCAAAAGTAAGGCGTGGTGTTAGAGATGCTCTATCCGTTTATGAAGAACTTTTAAGAGAACAACGCAAAAGAAAAAGGCAAACAACATTAGATGCTTTTGTCACAAAAAGGCAGAACACTGAAAACGCGGAAGGCTAACTAAATATGACTGACTTTGAATTTTATTCGTTTTGTTATTTATATTTTGTTTTTATTTTTGCAAGAAATAATAATGTGGTATTAATTTGGGCTTTAAGAAATAAATGTTTGGTTTTATTTTTATTAAAAAAAACATACTTTTTAAATTTAATACCTAACCAATTTCCTAGCCATCTTCCCCTAACCCCAATATTTACATGTAAAGATAGCCTCGTTTAGCGCTGTTTCGCATTACGCTTTACTTTGATGGAACGTATCCCCCGCGTTAAGCGGGGTCTTACTGTATCTTTAATCAACAGGAATCAATAAGTAGGAATTGACTTTAATGTGTGAAAAATTGTATTAACATCAAATGTCTTCTACTACAAGTTTAAAAAAGTGTATTTGAACTTGCGTGGACGAATAAAAAGTATTTTAGTAAGGACTGAAAATTTTGAACAAGATATAGGGAGAGTGTGAGCTAATAATAGGAATTTTGAAAAGCAGGTTGGTTGCATTTCGCTTTGTGCTGGTATCTGTGTTCGACGCAATTTATATTTCATTAAAAATGAGAAAAGTTTCACGTAGAATTTTATTGAAAACGACAACATTTTTTTTTGATCACGCAGCGGCGGGCACACATTAAACGGTCTCCTGCCACCATGGCGTCAGCGGGCATTGGATGGGAACCCCTGGTTTATGCTATCCTAGCTATACTGTAGTAAAAATTATAGCTAGGAAAGCTTGAAATTTATACATTTTCAGAAATTTCTTTGGGAGAAGGAGACCTAAAATCAGTCTCTTCGAAATAAAAGTTTTAGTTTGTAATTATGAGTTAAAGAGTCCACAGACTTGCCAGTACTAGAACCAGTGAATACTGAAATTTAGCCTATTTTAGTGCTTAGTCTTTAGGTATTTCGTGTTTACACAGATGAACCCTCGTCAAAAGAATCCTAAACTTGATTTACGGCAAGAGTCGTTGAAAACACTTTACAAGAAATCACTCTCTTCTCTTCTTTAGAAATATAATATGGACACCTTATGACTTCCTCGCATGACCTGTTAAATTATGCACAATTTTTTTTTTGCATTTCGTTTAAGCTTATTTCCCCGAAATAATTAGAGATATATTTCTCATTCAGTTGATTCAGTCTTCACTTTGCGACAAGGCAAAAATAGAAAAAAACTCAAAATATCTTAATTAAAAACTGAAAAATATAGAAAAAATACACCAAATGCAGTTAAAACAATAAAAAAAAATTTTAATTAAAATTGGAGTTTCTACTCAAAAACAAGCAATGCGGCAGCAAACGACAAGGCAGATATTTCGGTGCACAAAACTGAAAGTTTACTTTTCATTCTACGCTACAAAAAAACACTGAAGGTGCAGAAACAGATTTAATTTAGTGTTCTGCTGAGTTGCAAATGTAAACAAATTTCGCAGCTATGGTAAAAAAATAGGCTTAACCGCACTTAAACAACTTATAAATTGTTGATAAATCTATACCTATCGCTTGCAGATTAACCAAAGGCATAATAAATCTTAGCCCGAATATAAGAGCAACATAATTTAATCATTTTTAAAGCAAAACACACAATCTTCCATAGTCCGTCCAGTATTTTGGGATGCCGCTTATAAAGGGCTTGTTTTAAAAATCCAAATGCACAGTAATTCATAGGAGATACATAAGGGTACTTGGGGTAGGATGCATTTAAAGGGAATAACTTCAGTTCCGGTTTCATTTCTCATTTTTTTCAAAAAACAGAGCAACAGATTTAGAAGTATGGCTTTAAGCCTTCTCCTGATGGAACTTAACAAAAGTGAAGATTGTTTGGATAAAGAGATGAAAATTCTTCTTTAAAAATAGATGTTAAAATATATTTCTGTTAGTAATCCGAATTGACTTTGACATTTTTTCCGCTTTCCTTATTTTAAAATTTCTGTTATTTCAGAATCCATTAATAATCATAAAACCTTTAGATAAACGTTCCTTCTTTTATCTAAACCAACATATTAATTTTTTTTCGGTAGTAAATCGATCTTTTTCTAATGTATTCAGATAGGTATATCCAAGCTTCAGCAATTGTAACTTTATATTTCCATTTTTCGCCTGCCAAATAATTTTCATACAACAATCTACACATAGTCTTACGCTGAGAAACATGTTTCGGCGTTAGGCGATGAGCATCACGTTTATTATTATTATTATTTTGTTTCGATTAGCTTTAAATCAGATTTTATAATTTTGTTCATGGTTCTAAGAGAGATACTTAAAGATCTTGCAATAGCTCTTTGGGCGGCTGGAGGATTTTGCTTAAAAACATGAGATGCGATTGTAGATTTAAGAAGAGCTGTGGGTATTTTAGTCGGGTATGCATTTTTTGCCTTTTCCTCATTCAGATGTAAATTTTGAGTTTTTTCTGTCCTATTAATTATGTCACTTATTTTGCGAGTAGAAATATTAAAACCATGCTTTTCGCATCCTTTTTTAATAATCGAATAATTTTCGGACAGCGCATTATTAATCTTTGGGCAGCTAAAAATATAGCCTTCTATCCGTTGTTTATTTTTCAGCGACATTTTAAAGAAAATAAAAATTTTAATGCTGTAAACGATAATTAAACCTTGTTCCAATTGGATGCTAATCACGTTTGTATTTTAAGATTAAATTTAAATTCAATTATTAAAAATCATAATCGTTACAAAAATGTGTGAACACCCTCTTTATTGGACATTTTCCAGGACATTTTCCAATGAAATATTACCACGTTATGTTATGTTCGGAGACATCACATAAGCAATATTTAGCACTTTGGACTTCACGAATCATTATTTAACTTATATTTCCATCGCAGCGAATTGTTGAATGCAAAAAGCGTTCTTTGTATATTAACAAGTGGAAGGTTTTGGATGATCTTTGTTCAGTGTTAAGCAAACTTTTTTTAAATCCATTATTTCACAAAGAATGCTGGATTGATATGTTCATAAGATCCGCATTTAAAAATCATAAAAATTCGTTTTAAATGCAGCATGTGTGTAATAATTTTTGCATTTTATGACACATTTCCTTTACTTAATTACGTAGGTTCGTAAATGTTTTCGTGTACTATGGACTTTCGTACAACACCAACGAACTAGCCGGTGATCCCTTCGTTAACTTTGCACTTTCCGGAGCAGTGGAGTTCCCGGCATATGTTCTCAGCATTATAGCTATACGATCCTTGGGCAGAAGAAATCCTCTAGCTGTTGCTCTGATAATAGGAGGTGTTGCTTGTCTTCTCTGCTACCTCATGCCCGAAAGTAAGCCAAACTCCGACTTATTGAAGCTTGGTATTTTTTAATTTATTGTATGAATATTTCAGTGTGGAAATACGAATTGAATCGAATACAAACAACGTTTTACTCTTGTGACACATTAAGAAGCGCAACTTTTATGAACAGGGTGGCGCTCAAAATGGTTGACTTCTTCATATGATGATAGTTTTATGTTTTTAACTCTTCTTTAAGCGGTCCCAAAATGGTAGCCCAAGATGCCAAATCTGTCCTATAACGGAGTTTAAGAGTTTCTATCTAGTAAGGTTTCTGTACTTTTTGTTACGTTGCACAAGCTGCCAGGATCTTGTATTGTCCTAAAGATTATGTTCATTTCGGATCAGAATGGAATGCCTTTTGAATTGATAGGCGGTGTAAGCTTCTCCAAATATTAAGAGAAATATACTGCATTAATAATACATCGCCCATTAAAAAAATTGGCATATCGTCGTTGTCAAACCAATATCTGCTAGGCGCACATTTGTTAAATGCCAGTTTTTATTTAACAGTATTCTGGCTGATGCGCATAGCATATTTTTTGGCGATCCCAATTCACCATATAATGCTTAGAGTCCCATAGCAGTCTTTTACACGAAAATTTGGTTGGTAAACTAATGGTAATAGTCAAAATATCGAAATCTCCAAAAAGTGCACATAGGAGATATTGGTTTGACAACAACGATATACAATGTGCCATGAATTCCTAATACATTAATGAGGAATTTATCAGGATAAACGCGACTTTTGGTTTTCAGTGGACTAGTTTCAATTTTTATGCTTTAGTCCGCACTAAATCGTTTTATTTCAATTGTGTAATGGTGCAGCTACTATTCGTCATAGGATGAAATGCCCATTAAAAATGCATCTTATTACATTTAAATTTTATTTACCCCAAAAAAATAAAAATTCATCGATATGCCTTATTACATTTCTGTTTTTGCAGCCTTTTGATATGTGTTCAAAATTCAAACCTCCCACTTTACCATGATTTCTTCAGATTTAAGCTCATTCCGAGTCTTAAACTGCTCTCCATAGCCTACGCATGTTTTGTCACTAATTTCATGTATTATTTATTCGTTTCTCTTCATGAATGACGCTACGAATTTGTCGAATTTTCTCTCTCTTTGTTATTATTATTGTTATTATTCTGTTGTCTTTGTTATTATTTTGTTGAGATGAATGTTATCGGTTGGGCCACATTCAGCCTCTATGCTTCAATATCCCACGCTGTGTGATCTGCGATGAAAACCACCGAAGTGCCGAGTACCGTAAGCCAAAAGAAAGAAGCCCTTGTTTGTATTTTCTGTAACGGACCTCATGTCAGCTGCTATCATGATTGCCCAGAATACAAAAAGAACTTGCTGCAGTCACCAAGAAAGACTGAGCAAAAAACAGTAAATCAAATCTTGAAAAATAAGGGAAACTTTCTGGTATTTTCTCAAAATTCAGAAGCCACTACTTCCGCCCAAAACAAAAGAAAACACAAGCGAAATGCTACGAAATTCCACAGAAAAATTAAAAAACTCAAATGAAGAAAACTCGACTTGTATAAACTGGATAAGTATGATAAAAGAAATATTTTATTTTTAAAAGATTTTAAAAAAGCAAAAGCACCCGCAGAAATGCTGATCACCATCCTATAACAGCAGAACCATCCCTCAAGAAGTTCGTACAAGACCGATGACGAAGCTTCTTTCTTGGTCGGCATCAGAGAAAAACCTTTTATCACAATCATCTCGAATCAGAGAATTGATCACATCCTGTGTCACCAGATGAAGACACAAGCTTCACTTTTTCCGACGTTTTGCTCTCCTAACATCTTATTTAACGCCTTCAAATTAAGCAATAATTCCAAAGTATAGGCAAATAGTAGTTTTTCGCTAAAACGCCAACAGTACCATTACGTTCCAAGTTCGTAAAAGATATGTGCTGCTACTAAAAATATTTCATTTATATTTGATCCATGTACGCTTTGTACACACACACACACACACAAACAAAAAAAAAAAAAAAAAAAAAAAAAAAAAAAAAAAGAAAGAAAATCTGAAGGGTTTCAGATTTTAAAATTACGTCAAAAGGTATTTTTTTTGTAACGTTTTGTGCATTCCGTTTATTTATTAAATATAACGTTCTTCGCACTTAAACGATAAAATTTAGTTCTACAGCAATATCGCAAAGTAATTTTAAAATGAGCATATCTTTAAATTTTCTGATACACAGTTCCGCTCGCTGAAGATAAAAAAGTTTTTGGGGACCGTAGAGTGTTGCCATTGCTCGCTTTTAAATCGTTCAGTTTCTTAATCAAAAATTCGTTAAAATTTTACAAAAAAGGAAATAAATAATAATAATAATAGATAATAAAGCAAATGAGGCTTGGGGGCGCAGTGGCTAGCGCATAGCGCACCAGCACCACATGTCCGGGGTTCGATTCCCGGGCTGGGTAAGGTCGATTCAGCCTTTCATCCCTTGATTTCCATCTCTGGGCTCGATAGAATGAATACCAACACTGGACTAAACACTGGAGGTCCCAACACTGGACTAACCTGCGACCAAGCTGACCGCTTATTCAGCGCATATGCTTTCCCCTGCCCGGGGCCCACGGTTAAGAAAGCAGATTTCGGGCACTGCAGGCCTTGGCCCATTAGGGCTGTTACGCCACTGATTTTTTTTTTTAATAAAACAAATTCCAAACTTGGGTTTAGAGATGCCCATATTCGGGAGGAAACGTACGTTAATCAAAATTCGATTGCTCTAGGTACCGTTGTTTTATCATAATGCGAGAAACATATATACATTTATGCAGATTCTTCATTATTTAATTTCTTCAAATATAATAAAGGCGATAATATTTGGTGGCAACAATTAACAATTTGAAAAGGGAATCCGACATTTATAGTGAACCGACGCAAAATGCCAAAACGAAATAATAGTCCTTCAGGGAAAATTGTCCCTTTGGACTAAAAAAGGGATAGTTCTATAGCTTTAGCTCTACTGGGGCTATTGAGGAAATTTAATTTATGTTTTTCGTGTCTCGAAAGCGCGACTTAGAATATATATTAGATTTCATATATGACATTGTTTTAGCATAGATATTTTGATATAAAATAGGACTTTTCTGAAATGACATATCCATTGTTTTTCCGTATTTTGATTCTGCGACTCAAATTATGAAAAATACTATATTAAATACTATAATTTTTTTTTAATTCTGTGAGAAAAATATGGAGAAATTTAAAAATTTATATTGGCGCAACTTTTTTAGTCTGCACCAAGAATTCCCTTGGCGAAATTCTTAATTTAACTTATTTTTCTTTCCCTTTCCATTGTGCAGGAGCGGAAAAAATTCTGCAATCGGTCCATTCTTTCCAATATACAAATTTACTTATATCTTGGGAAATTTTAAGTAATTAATTCTGATGTTTTGCATGTTTGCCTAGAAATATATATACTTTAAATTGGCGGTAAAAATTTTATGAGTTATAATTAAAAAATGTTTCAAAACATTTATAAAAATTATTAAAAAGTACAAATTAAAAAAATAAATCAGAAGATATCTGCCAATTTTATTTGGATTGAACCTAAATTTTGAACTGCGAAAGAAGGAATCAAGTAGGTTATAATAAAGAGAAGAGATATTAAAAATGGTATATCAAATTGAATTAACATTGAGGAGTAGACATTTGAGATATAACTTTTTTAAAAACAACTACCGCAAAATTTACAAAACTTGGCACATTGCCATAATTTGACTTAGTCGCAGAATCAAAATGTGTTAACAGATCGGTGCGTCATTTGAGAAAAAATCCGATTTTGTGTTAAGAAACCTATGTTTCAACAACCTATACACATATAACTGTAATATATATTTTAAATTGCGCTTTCGAGATATGAAAAACTTATGTTATGCTAACATGTAACCTAACATGTAAATTTTAACTTTTCATGTCTGAAGTGCGTGAATAAAATGTAAATAATGTAATAACGACTGTAAGCAACGATTATAAAAAGTGGAAATGAGAAGAAATACATAAATTTTTTATTCTCTTTTTCTGAGTGTCTCCTTCTGGCTTGGTATCTTCTCAAAAATCGGATTATTAATTAAAGAATATTAGAATAATTACGCTAACTTTTATTAATTTTAAAGGTACTAATTTACTTTTGCAGATGTTTTCAATCATTTTCTTGAGATTTTTAGTTTGTTTTTCCATATTCTTCTGAATTCTTTTTGAAAGTTTAAGTTTGCTTTTGAAGAGTTCTCCGATCTGCTATCGCAGTTTCCAATTTGTTATTGTGGATTCTTCTATGTGTTCTAACAGATTTCTTATAATTCTCACAATTTTCATTTTCATGTTAATTACTCCAGTTTACCAGAAAAACATTCCTCTAAAAATTGAAATGAAATTCTAATATTTTCGAGTGAGGATTGAAGGGTACTTACATATAAACGCAATTACCTTGGCGCAATTTGGCGATTTTTCAAAGATGAAAATGTAAAAGTTGCTTATCGGGTGCAGGTTGGTGGTTTTCGCGAATTATTTTAGAAAAATTCACAAACTGTCAGTATCGTATCTACAGACATTATCAACATATGAATAGAATACCTACTTTAGCAATTTAAGTAGAGATTTTAAATATTAAATAAGCATTACGTGATACAGTAAAAAGAGTGATACATTAAAAAGTATTCATTACGTGATACATTAAAAAGTATTCATTACGTGATACATTAAAAAGTATTCTTCACCAAATCTTTCTGAATTTTTTTCGCGCTATTCTTTTCCCCACGTACAAGAGCGATCTAAATTTGCTTAGAATAATCAGAGAGTTGCAGAGACTCGGCAACACCAGCTGTCTACCAAACGTATATCCTCATTCTCCTTTTAAAGATTTTCCAGCAAAATTGTGTATTATTGCAGAATTTTGCAGCAGTTTCTTCCATTCCTAGCAAATTTCACAAGCTTAAGGTAAGAAATATCTTGATTTGTTTATAAAATCTTTGGAATACAATAAAAAGAAGGCATACGAAAATGGTGACGTTACTTGACTAAAACATTGTTACTAGCATGATTGCCTGAAGAATGGTTATCAGCATGGTTGCCAGAGTTTGGCGCTTTCTCGAAATTTGGCGACTTCTGCTAAGGTGGTTGCGATAGCAGTTAGTTAGCATTTAATATTACTCTTTCTCATTGAAATGCTGAAATGGAAATGTTTTGTTGCGTCAGTCACTGAGAAATGATTAAGACAGCAAGATAAATATTAGTAAACTCAGATAAATATTAGTGGGAATTTGAAAACTAACTGCTTTTCCGACACTTAATTTGTTACTAAGTTATATATATGTTACTGTGAAACACCGAAATCTGGAGAATGTCGACTTTCACCGGTGAATGTCAACATTCACATAGTCTCTTGGTGTATGTCCGAAATATTTTCCAAATACTCTTATTTCTGACTTACACCGGTCAATGTCGACATTCACCATGTACTAATGGTGAATGTTGAACAAGTAACAATATTATATTTTCTTCTCCGTAATTCAGTCGCGAATAAACGCACTTGAGACTTGAAATAAGAACATGAGAACATGAGAACCTAAAACACACAATACATTCAAAATGAGAAAGGAAAATAATAGTTAAAAACTTAATTATACAGTACGTTCTAAATGAGAAAATAAAATAACAGTAATAAAAAACTTACTAAATTATGTGATTCAAATCTGATTTATTGCAAAAACTTAAACTATTATGGCACTTTATGACCTCTCTTTTCGACTTTCACCAGACATATCTGTGATTGTCGACATACACCAGTGAGGGTCCGAATATACAAGAATGCAGTGAAATTTTCGGTCTTTCACCGACGTATTTGGTGAATGTTGATATTCTCTGGTGAAAGTCGACATTCTCCAATTTCGGTCTTTCACGGTAACATATATAATAAATGAAAGAGATCTGATTTTATAGGATAGCAATTTATCAAATGTTTTCACCATTTGTAGAAAAATATTTGCTGAAAACTGGTTAAAAATTAATTCTTCTGCCTTAGGAAAATCTAGATCCAGTTGAATAATCAGGAAACAACGATAGTGCAGGTTACGGAATTACAGATGAACGTATATATCTGATACATAATTAATCATCAATTAAAAATTTTGGTTTCATTTTAGCGATTAAAAGTAGTAATAAATGAATCGACAAGCAATAAATATATACTTTTAAATAAGGAACTGCTTTAAGAAAGAAAAATTAGATTCTTGGTTTGAAAAAAAAATGGTGACGTTACTAATTAAAACCTATTCTTTATGTAAAAGTAATAAGATCCCACATTTTGAAAAGCAGTTGTTAATTTTCAGAATCCTTTAAATTTTTTATGTGATGTGATGAAAGTGTATAATAATTTGCTTACAATTTTATTTTCATTCCACGTCTAGACCCGTGGTGGTTCGGTGTGACTGTTTCAATGATTGGCAAGTTCTGTATAAGTTGCGCTTTCGGTATAATCTTGGTTTTCACGGCCGAGATCTTCCCAACTGTGGTCAGAAACATTGGCCTCGGATCGGCTTCAATGGTTGGTCGTGTCGGATCCATACTTGCGCCCTTCATACGAGAACTTGTGAGTGGCTTTTCATCTCTAGGTTTTTGAGTATTTGCAAATTATCTTGAATCTAATTAAGTAACTATCGATGTGAATTTGTTAAAACTGATGAATATATACTTATATTTATATATTTAATTTGTTAAAAATAGATTAGGTATATACTTTTATGAAACTATTCAATATATTACTATACGTTTTTATTAATTACATATTTTTGTTACTTTTATGCATGAAGTGCGCTGTATCTGTGATTATAAAAAGCGAAGAATTATTCTTAAAACTCTGTATTACTACACTACTGGCCATTAATATTGCAACACCATGAAGGAAAACAAATACAAAAAAGATATTTATTGCAAGTAAACAGTATGGCATTAAAACAAACTTATTAAATTTGTAAAAATTTTGGAGTTATACAGTGGTGCGAAATTAGTAGTAACAGCTGCAGCTAAAACGACCCTTACTCCATTAGGGCTGCTTGAGGTCAAACTGGGCTTGGATAACAGAAATGGGCAACTCATTCCATGCTGCATTAAGTCCATGTCACACTTCATCAGCAGTATTAGCTGGAGAGGCGTGGCGGGCCAGTCTCTCTGATCTGGAGACTGTGCAGGCAATTAATTACCCAATGCATCGAGGAAGGTCAGAGCACGACATGTGATCTTGCATTATCTTGTTGGAACATGACGTTTAGGGGCCTCGAAGATAGGGCACAACCACTGGACGTAAGATGTCAGAAATGTACCCATCCTGGCGTTCAAATTATCGTCGATTCGAGCTAGAGATGTGCGTGTCGTGTACCCAATGGGCGCGAAACCATCACACTCGATGCAGGGCCCCTATGCCGATGTCGAATGCAAGCAGACGACGTGCGGTCTTTTTGGAGCGTCTAGACATGTATACGACCATTATAACACTGCACATAGGACTGGGACTCGTTTGAGAAGGCGACGTTTTGCCACTCCTGCACCCATCTTTGTCGTTTGGCGTACCTGAGTCGCCGTCTCTTTCTATGCTTCATTGTGAAGGGAAGCCTAAGTAATGGTCATCCCTGAAAACGTCGACGCATTTTATGAGCTGATACTGGGCGTGCCGCAAACATACCTATTTCCTGAATAATGACCCATGATATGGTCATACGGTTTTGCAGCTCTGACCTCACAATATGTCTGTCCTCTCGGGCGTTAGTTATGGAAGGGCTTTGAGAACCTACATGCCGTTCAGTATGACCCTCAGCATTCCATTGATTCCATATTCGCATGACAGAGGTTGGATGTCGACCGGCGATATCACATAACGATAAACTACACCTTCGATAGTCAACGATCCTGCTTCTATCGTATTTCTAAATTTGCTCGTAAGCATTTTATCTTCTTATACTCGAGGCATGACACAATATTCCGAGCAAACTACCACCTTACAAAAGACTTTCCGAATGATAAATCCACTACAAAACTTTTCTTTTGTGCAGTGCCTCAGATGTCTGCGTCATCGAAATGCGCAAAAATATCAATCATTTGCATATCCCAACTTCTTCCGTACGTGTGACTTTCATCTTCCGTCAGATCATTCCTTCTTGGTGTTTCAATTTTAATGGCCAACAGCGTATTACAAAAACATGAAGTTTAGGATTAATAATAAAAGAAATTGCGTCGATTGTAATTTTTTATCATCGAACTTGTTTCATGTTTGGTATTTTAGTATACAGAGTTAGAAGTGATGTAAATTTTCTGTCATTCGCAAACAATTAACTATATATCAAAATAACTCAACAGAAACATAACTATTAAATCTCTGAGGTATAAATTGCATTGCTATTGCTTCACATCCACTAACCTCTGATCTTGCTGAATTACTGGATCTTCTGGACGTTCTGTTTCATGAAGGCATGACGTTCTGCGAGTAATCGACAACGCCTATCAGTAGCTGAATAATAATTTGAAGATTGGTATTTTTTCCGGAGTTTAGATCCAGGTGAATGGCCTAATTTCACTGTGGTTTCCCCGCTTTGCTCGATGAGATAACCTGAATACCAACCGATTTCCATTAGTCCTTCATGAAGGCTTCCAGCTCTTTATGTAGATGATCCTAATGTGCTTTGGCAGAAATCCCTCCAAATTTAATCCAGTCCAGTCCTGGAATCGCCCGAATGTCCGATCATTCTTAACCTCCAAAGTTCATATCAGTAATGGCGACGTTAATTTAAGTTTTATATATCAGAGATATGTCTGTACATATGACTATGAAGTGAGGATCAGCTCATTTCCTTTAATGCAAATCAGCCAATTCCTCTTAGTCCTCCGCGAAGGCTTCCACCTCACTTAAGGATATAGCCGTAATATGATTTGCCATATTCCATTCCAATCCAATCCAGACCGTGAAGTTGCCCGAATTTCCGAGGTCATCGTTCTCATGAGCGTTCATCATTGCTTGGAGCACTAACGTGATGTCAGTTGAGGTTGTCAGAATGGATCTGAATATTTCTGTTGCGTATAATTCTGAAGATTGTAAGATTCAATATCGCTGTATTCTTTTCGCTTTTCTTTATTGAAGAAAGGAGGTTTTGTACAGAGACGGCATTCCATGGTAAGATGTTTTGTGTAGCATAGTCATCAGAAAACATATAAAGGCATTTCTTTACTGATTCGAAGCAAGACTTATTTTGGTTGAATCAGAAATGCCCTGAAGATGGGCTAAAACATAAATCAAGAAACTTATTGGAAAAGTAACTTTCAACCAGCAAAACTGAAGATAGGTTTAAAGACATAGAAGTTTCGGAAAATAAAGCCTGCCAGAAGGCGAGCGACTAAAACTGAGAACTTCTATTAATTTACTCAAGTTCTGTTTTCAGTGATAGAAACGACTGTCTGCAAAACATTTCATGAATTTTTCCGCGTGTAACATTAATAAAAGTTTGTTTCTTTCGGAGAACTGGCTAGAAATGCATTCCTTCTATTACATAGATAGCTATACAGGGATTCAATGTAACTAAGCAAGCCATTCTTATTCATTAGAAAGCTAATCCCTGTAGCACTGTTAATCACTCATGATGGCTTTTATGTCTGCTTTGAAGCCTAAACATTTCAAGATTGTGACGCAGAATGAACTCTTAAAATGTTGTAAATATTGTACTGTAAAACTGTGAAATACGGATGTTTTTGCCGTATTAATTAAGTGTCCAATTACTGTCGTATTTAAAAAAAGAAACTCTAATTATATTTTGTCTTGTTATTAAAGTGACAACTTTTCTGAAGTCGTATATTAAAAAGATTGAACAGATTGGGTTAGGTTGAGTTATTAGAATTCATGGAATTCGAAGCAAATGAGGGCTGCCTGACTAAGAAGACGATTACTTCGTGAAATACTTTCTAAGGAAAAATTTATTGTTTAACGGTCATTTTAACTTTATACACTAGGACTGAATAGAAATAGCCAGTACGTGCAGCATTAATTGTGCAGATCTGTTTAGCTTCTTTTTACAATAACTAAAAAAAGGTTTTGTGATATGTATTCATTTTCTTAGGCCAGGGGTTCTCAACCGGTGAAGAACCGGTAAGGTGATTTTTATCTTAAGCAAGATAAAAATGGATGGTACGCAAAGATGCGAAGTACTTTTAACTATTAAAATTCAAAAATTAAAATCCGAACATCCTGATTGAGTTTTTTTCTGTAACACTAAATTAATGCGATCTGAGCTTTGTTCAAGAGTGGTTGTGGTAGTAGTACATTGTAGTAATGGTACTAAAAAAAGGTTTTCAAATTTTCTTTATATGGTATTCTTTAGTCTAAAGGTTGATAACCGCTGTCTTAAACTATTGATACTATACCATCGTTAGTTTTTGTAGCTTATTTCTCTTCAATTTGGGAGAACCTACGTTTGTTTCATTCAAGTTCCATTTAGTATAATACACATTAATGAATGCTTTAAATCTCTAGGGCCATGCTACACATCCAGTGGTGCCTCAAATTGTGTATGGTGTGCTTGCTGTTACGAGTGGAATGCTGGTATTGCTTTTGCCTGAAACAAATAACTGCGTTATTCCGGATACTATCAAAGAAGCTGCTAATGCCTCCAGGTACAGTAAATAAGTAGAGGAGCTCACGCCATTCAGTGCTACAATGCAAACAAATTATATAGCATTAGGTATATTTGATGACTCCAACTGTTTCTTATTATTTGGTAATATCGTCTATTTCAGATTAATAAATACTATATATATATACAAAATATACTACATATATATATATATATATATATAATTATTGTATATATATATATATATATATATATTACCAAATTTGTATATACAGTCGATTCCGCTTAATTGGGACACCGCTTAATCGGGACAGCCGCTCATTTGGGACTAATCTCAAAGAACAGATACCAAACTAAGAAGCCAATAGAAAATTTATATGTTTAATTGGGACAACATTCCGCTTAATTGAGATAGTAAATTTAAGATCACAGTACATATTACGAGTTTGTTACGGAGCGTTGTCTTACAGCTTATTGCGCATGCGTTGCCTTACATCTGATTGTGTATGCGTTGCATCACAGGCGAGCGCGAGGCCGTTCTTATTCAGTTACCATTACACCTCGTACGTGACGACTGTTTCGATTGTTGCATATTTATTCACTCACAATACACATCGCGCGTGAACAGTGCATAAACTTATTCTTCAAAAATTTAACCCTTGCCAAAATGCCAAGAAATGATTTGACACTTTCTAAGCAAAATTGCCTTTGCTAGATAAAATAAAAAGCCAGCCACCTAATACAAGTTATCGCCGGCTCGCTGAGATAACTGGAGTACCAAAATCTACCATACCGCGTGTCTTACGACAAGAAAGTCAACTGCGTGAGGAATTGGTTTTATAAGAAGGACAAGCAGGAACATCCAAAAGAAAACGCGAGGGGAAGGATCCAGACGTCGAAGAAGTGCTCTCTTCCTTTCGCAACAACATGAAAAATGTAAAGGTCTTGAATAGGCACAATCGGATTGCCAAGCAAATTGTGGCTGAAAATGTCAATAGTTATAAAGTTAAATATTTAATCTTACTGGGCTGTCAAGTTTCCTCTTCAATACTTTTTACGCTATCAATATTGCTACGTCTTCTAGGTCAATGGTTTTCTATTGTTTAGTGGCAGAGGCGTATATACCAACGGCCCGATATTGAAGGCGAAGTCAGAGGAGTTAGCTAAAAAACTGGGCCGCTATGATTTCAAAGCAACTGACGGGTGATTATCGCTATGGAAAACAAGACGCAACATTAAATTTAAAAAAGCGCACGGTGAAAGGGCCAGTGCCGGCAAGGAAAGTTCCAAACAGTGGAAAACTACGAAAATTCCTACTTTTTTAGAGAATTTTTGTGCTGATGACATTTACAATGATGAAACCGGCCTCTATTATCGTGCTACGCCAGACGGTTCCTCATGCTATAAACACATTGCACTGATTGGTTATAAAAAGGCGATGGACGGCATTACTGTGTTATGCTGTACAAATATGTCAGGTACTGACAAACGAAAGCTACTGATCATAGGAAAAAGTGCTAGACCTCGATGCTTTAAGGTGTTGAGCATGGAGGGTTTACCAGTGGAGTACCATGCAAACAAAAACGCGTGGATGACTTCTGAAATTTTTCGAAATTGGCTTACCAGTTGCGACCGAAATTTAGAACATAAAAAAAGAAAAATTTTGCTGATTGTTGACAATTGTGCGGCAACACCCTCATTTAGACAATCTACAAAATAAAAATAACAGCTGGAATTTCTTCCTCCTAATACCACATCTTAATGCAACTAATGGACATGGGGGTAATAAAAAATTTTAAGAGTTTGTATCGTGGGAAATTGGTTAATTACATATTAGAATCCATTGATGAAAATTTATTAACAACTTCCACAACAGCCAGAGAGATAAGTTCAAAAATTTCCCTTTTGCAAGCAACACAGTTTGTCGCTGATAGTTGGCGAGCTATAAAAGCCACTACAATACAGAACTGTTTTCCTAATTGTGGCTTTAAACCCCTAGAAATTTCCGAAAATTTAAGCAACGAAGAAAATGAGAATATGTTGCAAGTTCCTATTTGTATTAACTATGAAGAATTTTCAACAATAGATAACAATTTACCATGTTACGATGATAATGAAAACTCTGAGGATTCAATCGTAGAAGGTATTAAATCAAAACGTGGAAAATTAGACGAAGATGACGATGATGATGATGAGTCACCTGTGTCTGTGACTAACCAGGAAGCAAAAAAATGTATTGCCACGTTACAGCGTTATTTTATGCAGGAAGGAAATGAAGGGAGCCCTGCATCCGCACTGAATATCTGCGCTGATTTTGTAGAAAAGAAATGCTACAAAAACAAAAAACAGACTACACTTGACTCCTTTTTGTAATTTTAATTTAGAATTTTAGATTCATATTAATTTTAGATAAATATTAATACATAATTTTCCTATTTGTAATTTACATTTATTAAAATTATTGAAAAAATATATGTTGTTTAATTTATTACCGGTTATTGGCCTTAGTTTCCAAAACCAAATAAATTTGTTTAAAAAACTGTGAAATTCGCTTAATTGCGACATCCGCTTAATTGGGACAAAATGCCCGGTCCCGATGTGTCCCAATTAAGCGGAATCGACTGTATTTGTATATATATATATACAAAATATACTATATATATAAATACTATATATATATATAAAAGAGCATGTCCCAATCTGAAATTAAATACAGAATGTACTGTCTGAAAGTAACTTAGGGGCCAGAATTTGTTATAACAAAATGACAATGATGTACACGCGTATATATACCATGAAGAAGACGTAGCAATATTGATAGCGTAAAAAGTATTGAAGAGGAAACTTGACAGCCCAGTAAGATTAAATATTTAACTTTATAACTATTGACATTTTCAGCCACAATTTGCTTGGCAATCCGATTGTGCCTATTCAAGACCTTTACATTTTTCATGTTGTTGCGAAAGGAAGAGAGCACATCAAAACAGCACCCAAGCGGCATCAGAGGTAGAAGCAAACGTGCGCAATTTTCCAATTCGGAAGTTCACCAAGAGAAGGTTTTGGTTTAGGTTATAAAGGTTTCATTTCTCAAAATTTTGAGTTTAGGTTCTAAATTAGCTGCGTCATGAATGTTATGCAAACAATGTGACATAGAATTGTTCTAGAAATTACGCAGTCAAGAAAGGTTATTACTATTTTTTTAGAATACTGAGAGAAAATACTCATTAAAAAAAAGAGAAATTAAGAGTCTATTGCTGAATTAAATTATAAAGCTGATTTTCATATATTTCTATCTTTCATATATGTGTATTATATATGAAATTATTACTAGATACATCTAGTAATATATTAATATATATCTAGTAATATATAAATATATATCTAGTAATATATAATTACTAGATATATCTATCTATCTACACTCATGTCCATAAATTAAGGATAATGCAAAATCAGGCAAAAAAAAGAGTTAGAAGCAAAACAAATTTGACTTATTTGTAAAGCTTATTTATTAAAAAAAGGTAAAGAGCGAAAAACGATGCTACATGTTTGATATTATTAAAAAAAATTAGCGATTTTTTCCTCCCTGAGCAATTACAAAAAAAAAAAAAAAAAAAAAAAAAAAAAACCCTATTTACAAAAAACCAATATTACATGGTTGGTATGATTGTTAATACACTGTATGTCTCCCAGACGATGCAATACAGTCCGTACAACGCCTAGGCATGCTGAGTATCAAATTATCCATCAGATCTTGGGGAATATTACACCACTCAAAAAGCAATGCTCTCCGAAGTTCCGGTAGACATATAGGTGGAGGTTGACGGCCAAGCATGTCCCACACGTGCTCTACTGGATTCAAGTCCGGTGAGAATGCTGGCCAGTCCATACGGGTGATATCCTCCGATTGAAGGCATTCGCTTACGATATTTGCACGGTGAGGACGGGCGTTGTCATCCATAAACACAAATTGTGCGCCCATGGCGCCCCGAAACACGTGCATGTTGTTCCAGAATGACGTTCCGATAGATTTGGCTTGTCATGGTTCCAATTTGAACATGCAGGTCAGTTCTGGAACCCAGAACAATTCCACCCCAAACGAGCACTCCTGCACCTTAACGGTGTCGTTCAATGATGTTTTCTTTGTGGGAACGGGTACCTGGAGCTCTCCATATGAAAGTCCGGCGAGAATCAGACTGCAAGCTAAACCTGGACTCGTCGGAAAACATCACACAAGCCCACTCTTGCGGTGTCCACAATAAGCCACCACAATACAGAACCACTACAATACATGTTCTCTACTCCAGGCTAACCGCAGGCGACAGTGAGTTGCAGTAAGTGGAACGCATCTGACAGGTCTACGAGCATATAAACCAATCTGTCCTAAGAGTTTGGACACGGTCTGCCTTTAAATTGTCGTACCAGTGGCTGAAGAGAGCTGACGAGACAGGTCTGAGGCTGTGCTCCGCCTGTTTCTTTTGGCAGTAACTGCCAAATACCAGTCCTCATTCGGCGTTGTAACTCTGGGGCGACCTGTGCTGTAACGTCTACTCACATTACCATCATCTTGGAATCGTTGCCAAAGCCTGGAGATGCCACTCTGGGCAATTCCAAGTTCGTCTGATACTTCCAGTTGTGTACGCCCACATTCCAGACGGCTGATAATTCTACTACGTAAAAATCATCCAAATGCGTCCTTTCTGTCATAACTATTCGGTTATTGCACTGAAATGCTTATAAAGCGCCTGCGAACAATTTTACTTCTTTGCCTATGTTCCTTATATATCACTCTCTTACAGTCTCGTCATTGTGACGTACCATCGGTGTCATCTGGTTACTTCCTAAAATTTGCATATGACTGTTGGAGATGTGTGTAGTGATTTTACAGGTGATATATTTATTTTAGAGTTCGATTTCCGCGTGACTCCGAATTATCCTTAATTTATGGACATGAGTGTATATATATGTGGTATCCGTTAGTTCAACACATCCACTAGAGGACATCACGTGTGCGCCGAACTGCGAGAGCGGGGTGAAAGA